ATAATCAGGTATTACATGTTTTAAAAATTCTTGCAGTACACTGGTTGAAAATCGTTGCTCTGGGTCAAACAGTGTTAGGAAGATAATGGATTGTTCAGCCCAGGCAGTGTAGTGTGAGCAGGCATTCAGCTGAGACCAGAAAGGCTAATTCTTAGGAGAAGGCATCTAGAGTAATGGGTATTTTTATCACCTCATTCTTCATCCCATAGCCTGAAGCCCAGCAATGAGCAGAGTAAGGAAGGTTACCATTAAATTAATTACCTCCCTCTACAAAATGCAGTACTCTAGCCCTAGCTGATTTGGCTCAGTGGATTTAGTGGTAGCCTGCAGTCCTAGGTTTGATTCCAGTCAAGGGTAAGTACCTTGGTTGCAGACTCCTCCTGGGCCTGGGCCCTGTACAGGGCTCATGCAGTAGGCAACCAATTGATGTGTTTCTCTTACATCAATGTTTCTCTCTGTCTTTCCCTCTCTCTTCCACTCTTCCTAAAAAAAATCAATGGAAAAAATGTCCTTGGATGAGGATTAACAAAATGAAATACCCTATAAGGGTTCCAACATTTTAGTGGAAGGCAATAATGCACATAAAAGCAGAAATAAATGATATTGAAACATGAAAAAGAAAACATTAAAGCCCAGAAATTAGTTCTTAAAATAACTAAAAATTAATAATCCTGTTAAGACTTCTGCAGAATAAGAACTAATTACATCAATATCAGGGATAAACGGAGATTTTATTAGTAACAGAGAAAAATAAATATTTGGGAGTATTTTAAAAGCTTTATACCAGTCTGTTTGATGCTTCTATGACTCTGATTCTATTTTTGTTCTTCAGTTTATGTTGTTCATTATATTCCACAAATGAGTGATATCATGTGATATTTATCTTTTTCTGATTGGTTTATTTCCCTTAGCATAATGCTCTCCAGTTCCTAAGGCAGGGGGTGAGCGGGTAAGAGATCAACCAAAGGACTTGTATGCATGCATATGAACATATGGGGAGATGAGGGCGTATGCTGGGGGGTAGGGGCAGCCAGGGAGAAGTCAATGGAGGGAAAAGGAGACTTATGTAATACTTTAAACAATAAAGAATCTAAATTGAAAAAATAGCTTTGCACCAATAAATCTAATAGTTTAGATGAAATGCAAATTTTTATTTCTCTGGAACCATACCCAGGTATGTGATTGGCAGGCCGTATTGTAAGTGTATTTTTATATTTTAAAAGGAATTAATAAAAGGAATTAAAGCAGGGGAGGAACGGTGGGTTGGAAGAGATCCACCAATGAACTCATATCACATATGCATAACCCATGGACACAGACAAAAGAATGGTGAAGGCCTGGGTTGGGGGGTGGGGCCAGGGTGGTAGAGGTCAATGGGGGAAACAGGGGACATATGTAATACTTTCAACAATCAAGATTTTTGTAAAA